ATCAATGTGAGTCTTTCGCCCAAGAGGTTCACCGTATCCATGGTTATAATGGCTCTGTGGTTTGATTTCCTGTCAAAGACAAAAAGCACATAAGCAAGAAATGAAAAACTGCAGAAAATATTTTCATATTTTTAGTTTTATGTTATTTGACAAATATTCATTATTGAAATAATTATGTTTAACTTACTCAACCATCCATAGTCTAAAGAAAAAGCATGGTCAAATAAATCTTCCCTGTGGTGATATATTGTTTCTCCCAAAATACTGTGTACTCCAATAAAGTTTATCTGAGGATCAGCGGAAAAAGCCAGCCACTAAAGTAAACATAGAGGTCAGGCAATGGTAGCACAGGCCTTTAATCCTATCACTCGGGAGACAGAGATCCATCTGGATCTCTGTGAGTACAAGGCCACACTGGGAACAGAGCCAGGCATAGAGGCACATGCCTTAAATTCCAACACTAACTAATCATAAAGGTCTGGAGGTCTGTACAGACAGATAGGAAGTGATGTAGCTGGGCAGAGCAAATTCCAAGGTATCTAGAGCTACATAGTGAGAGTCTGAGGCCAGCCTGGTCTACATAGTCAGTTCTAGGACAGCCAAGACTACATAGAAGGTCTCAAAATGAATGAATGAATGAATGAATGAATGAATGAATGAAAGAATGAATGAAAGAATGAATGAGAGAGAAAGAAAGAAAGAAAGAAAGAAAGAAAGAAAGAAAGAAAGAAAGAAAGAAAGAAAGAAAGAAAGAAAGAAAGAAAAAATAAGTCTTTCTACTGTATTATTTTTGAGAATTTCCTATTAACATACTTTCGAGTAGGAGGACTTTATTCTGCTGGAGTCCTGAGATTCATGCAACATGTCTGAACTAGACTTCTATATGCAAGATTAGCTATTACCCATTTTCTTACTTAGAGATGTCTGTCCCATTTCTAGAATTGCTGATTTATGGCTTCAATGTATTTCTGACATACGATTAATAGTCACATACATTAATCTTCTCCTTGGGCTTCTCTGATCTCTATTTTTATCTTTAAATACAACTACAATCATTAATGCCATTTACCAAATATTCCCCCTTGTCTTCTCAGGTACATAGTAAGACTGTACACCCTTGGCCATTTGAAAGAAATCTGTGTAAGTGATAGGTTTTATTTTTAACTGAGTATCAACAAAGAATATACGCCTCCCTCTCACTTCCTGTGTCACAGATACCGGCAATCCTTTTCAAGAGTCAAAACAGTCACGCTATTCCAAAAGCAGCCGCTGCTTACCCCATAACGTATGTGCTGCATGAACCGGCAGCATTGAAGCTGTTAACGTTTTAGGGTTGAGACTGCAGGAAACCTACTTCACCCTAACTAATATAATCGTGAGAGCTATTTCTTTTGGGAAGTACTATACAGATGGATCTCTATAAATCTAAATTATATTTTAGAGATGGTTGTAACCACAATATGGTTTTACTAATTTATGTTCACAAATATCTTATGTATGTGGCTATACATAAGACATCATTTTAGAATATCTCTGAATAGTCTAAAGTACAATCCAATTTCCTAAAAATAAGTGGTATTCTCTTCTCCTTTTCATGCCCCTAGTATTGGCAAAATCAAGTCACTTAACATTGAACATTATATAAGACTAACTGATTCTTGCCAATGATTGGGTAGAGTTGGAATGTACAAGTCCAGAGAAAAATTATCTTAGAGTAGCTTAGCTTCCTAAATGACTCCTTGCAGTCTAACTGTACATGAGCTAACACCTTTTAACTATAAGGTAAACACTTCTGGATTGTCTGAATACAACCCTAGTTTCTTTCCATCAATCCCCAAACTAAGAATGACCTTAGACGCATTTGAGGTCTATGAGAAAGACATCCCTGCTTTGATGAACCCATTTTCTTGACCCTTCCATTAATGTACTGAAAAGGTGTCTGGAGTTAAAACTCTCTGTTCTATTCCTATAAAACCATGAAGCTTGTTACAACTTTAGAAAATGGTACCTGGGGTAATCCAAATCTGTGTTTCGAGGGCATACTTAGATCTAAAACAATTTGTTACTCCTTTTCAGGTGAGAGCAGCGTTTTGGCTTTTCACTTGAGAGCAAGTATCAGTTTTATCTTCGAACTCAAGATTCTGAACAGCATCCTTTTACTACATCTCAGTGGAGGGAAATGATCTTGGCAATCCCTTTTCCTCCTTCCTGACCAACAGCACATACCAGCATTCTAACTCAAGTCCTCAACGTATTTCCAGTGAGTTCCAAAATACTGAGTCAGATATAAAATGATTCTGAAAGATTCTGAGGAACTGTAATTATAAGATGTCTTTTCTTGTAAAACCTAAGAGTTTCATACATTCATACCTTGTTATTTAAACTCAATTACCAAAATGTAATTTGAGTGATGCAGAAACAGGGTTAAAAATTCTAAGCATTATGAATAATTTCTTAGAAGAATGTAAAACTCACATCTTTGAGAATAAACAAAGGCATTACAAATCTAGTTCAATATGCAGCAGAGTTCAATTAGCAAGGCTTACGCAAGAAATAACAAGATTAGATACACATTAATCCTCCCAACTAAAGCAAAAGCATCTCCTGATTCTGACACCAGCTAGTCCTTTCCTGCCTGTCCTGTGGAGGAGGAAACTAGTGGTGTCCCGTTTCTGTTGAGCAAATGCTCTTCACTGAGCTACACTCCTGGGTTTCCTTGTTTGCTAAAAGGCATTTATGTCTGCCTACTAAAATGTCCTAGTTAGAGAGCTCATTCAACCTTGACTCTTGATCCAAAGCTCAAGAATGCTTTTCCCTAACCAAATCCTCCCTGGCCCCTTTCCCTGTATCCCCCTTAAAACACTCTCTCACTCTGTCCAGACTCCTGCCCCTATTACTCTCTTCAAACGTTTATGCCTGGGTCTATCAAGTAAGTGAGACTATTTTAGCAATCATACAAATCCTCCATGAACCTGTCCCAGCTTATGTTTTCAACTTGTATCTACTGCTCTCCTTCTCCTGTGCATCTGCAAGCTGCACACTTTAAAACCGCGCTGTCTTCTGTCTCAGCTCCTGTTAGTCATCCTACTTGGAAGCAGTACTGGGTTTTCACAGTTCAAGTCCACTTACCCCTTCCTCTTGTCTCCCTCCTGCATCTAGATAGCTACCCTATTACCTGAGCTCCCGTCACTATGAAAGCGGCTCAGTAAGCATTGTGAGAAGGGATTATGTTAGTTTATCACTGCTGTAACAAACCCAGTGACTTAAAGCAACATGAATGTATGATTTTAGGCTTCTGGATCAGAAACCCCAAGTCACTGTTCTTGCTTGCTAAAAGCAAAAACAAATCCCCATCACAGATCCGTCATCATCTCTGCAAAGACTTTCCTTCAGAAGTAATAGTTGTTGGTCCCAAGAGTTAGGTCCCACTATCTTGGGGGAGGGGGGCGGTACTTGCCCACCAGAGGATAAACAAGACTGGAGAAGAGACAAAGTCCAAGCTGCAGAGTCGGCACTGTGTGCTGTTGTCTCTCAACTCCTGAATACCTGTGGAGCTATTCGAGTACAACTTTCTCAGCTGGGACATCTTCCGAGTCTGAGGTCAACTCTGCAGGGCTGATAGAACACTGAGACAACGTGTCACTCTGCAGCCCAGCCTGGCTTCACACACGGGAACCACCTTCAGCTCCGTGTTCCCACCTGCTGGTGCTACGACGGGTGGGAGCCACCCTGTCCAGTTGACGACGTATCACCTTGACTCTGGTCCTTGTTTGGTCGCACAGCCCAATTTTAGCAGGAATCCTATTAGCTCAGTTGAGAGAGAACCTCTTTAAATCCTTCCAGGAATCTTTCCTCACATTACACTCTCTCTACTGGACAGGCTGGTGGTGATGAAAAGTTGCGGGGTAGACCACAGTTACTTCCAGCAGGTCCGACCTCTCGTCAGGTCCTGTGCTCAGCACTGTGCTCCAAAAGCCAAGCTGTGAGGAGAGAAATGGTGTCCCAGGCACCCTATTCTCCACAGGTGGAACAGAAGCACTGATCTCTCACACCGGAAGCGAACCTCCCTTCCTGAGGTTTACCAGGACTGACACAAACAGCTCTCTCTCCTTCACTCGACTGTAAACAGCATTTCATTACGTCAGTAAACCACACAAAAACGCTGCCCTACTGGGTACAGCTGCTTATTCGTGTTGATGCTGTCCTGGTTATATTTTTATCAAATTAGGAAAACACTTACGTACAGATAAAATTATTCAGTTTCTTAAACTTCATCATTAAATTGTATCCCAAGATAGTAGTGCCAATTTATACTCTTCACTAACAATGCAAATGTTTTCTTTCCACTATACTTTATCAGACTTCTTCATTTGGGGAGACCTAGGAAACAGCAAAATTTACCATTTTGGTTTCTCTTTCCCTGCAGGCAAATGAAGAAAGCTTCTGCAGAAACATCAAGCTGCACAGAGAGAGGCCTTGGGACTCTGTACACGGACGTCGGATTCTTCCGACAAAGGGACGTGTGCTTGACTAGAGACGGAAGGGAATTAGAGACAAAGAATGCCTACAACTCTTTCAGGGAAGTGTTGTCACAAATGAGAGCAGAAGTCAGACCAGAGATGAGATCTAAGGGAAATAACAGGGTTCGGCTGAGTTTCAAAACTGGGAATTGTTTTCACTAGTAGAAATGCTGTGGTGAAGCCAAGAACTAAAGCTACACAAGAGAAAAGAATGAATGAGGGACAAGTCAGGGTGGCCAGACACAGGCGGTAGTTCATGTTAAATACGAATGAAAGAACTCAAAGCCTGGATAAACGGACACACATACCACATTTCTCAACTAGAATACCCACCATAAAGATGCCCATTCTCAAGATTTCAGGGAGAAAGTGCGCGGGAGCGGGGCGGGGGAGCGCAAGTGCGCAGGCGCGGGTCGCGGGCGGGCTGCGCGCAGAATCTCAGCGATCCTCAGTCCCTGCCGCAACCCCCTACCTCTCGTCATGGCCGCCTACAAGCTAGTGCTGATCCTGGAGAACCGTTTCAGCGGCTGGTACGACGCCGACCTGAGCCCGGTGGGCCACAAGGAGGCGAAGTACGGCGGAGAGGCATTGCAAGATGCTATGAATTTAACATCTGCTTCACCTCCGTGCAGAAGAGAGCCATCTGGACCCTCTGGACAGTCCTGGATGCCATTGACCAGATGTGGCTGCCAGTAGTCAGGACTTGGCGCCTCAATGAGCGACACTAGGGGGTCTGACTGGTCTCAATAAAGCAGAAACTGCTGCTAAGCATGGTGAGGCACAGGTAAGATCTGGAGGCGATCTTATGATGTCCCACCACCTCCAATGGAGCCTGATCATCCCTTCTACAGCAACATCAGCAAGGATCGCAGGTACGCAGACCTTACTGAGGACCAGCTGCCCTCCTGCGAGAGCCTGAAGGACACTATTGCCAGGGCACCGCCCTTCTGGAATGAAGAAATTGTCCCCCAGATCAAGGAGGGGAAAAGAGTCCTGATTGCAGCCCATGGCAACAGCCTTCGGGGCATCGTCAAGCATCTGGAGGGTCTCAGAAGAGGCCATCATGGAGCTGAACCTGCCAACTGGCATCCCCATTGTCTATGAATTGGACAAGAACTTGAAGCCTGTCAAACCCAGTTCCTGGGAGATGAAGAGACCATGCGGAAAGCCATGGAAGCTGTGGCCACTCGGGGAGGGTCAAGAAGGGCCGACTCCTACCCCAGTACCCTCCCCCATGCCTGTTGATGCCTCCGGCACCCTTCCCCAACACCCTTCCCCAACACCCTTCCCCAACACCCTTCCCCAACACCTGTCACACTGACTACATCTGTAGGATCTTAACTTTAGGTGGTAGCTGCAGACGAGAACCTGCAGCTCCCATTTTCATTTTAGTATTTTATCCCCTGCACCCACTCCCTTCATAGAATCTAGTCAGAATAACACCTCTGGGGTGCAGGTTCCTGGCCCACATCCAGGAACAGCTCCCCTTACCAGGAGAGTTGAGAGGTAGTAATTACAGTTTTTCCTAGTCCTTTGTTTACTAAGGGTCTGCTTTAGGAAGAGGTCTGACAGGAACCATGCTGGGGTGTGACCAATGAGAAGCTGCAGCCTAATTTTGTCCCTGGAGCCTGTCCTGCACCCTTGTTAGGTAACTGGGGGCTGTAGTCATTCCAGTGAAGGCTGAAAGTAACTCGCATGGTGACTTTTTGTTTTGTTTTGTTTTGTTTTGTTTTTCGAGACAGGGTTTCTCTGTGTAGCTTTGCACCTTTCCTGGAACTCACTTGGTAGCCCAGGCTGGCCTCGAACTCACAGGGATCCTCCTGCCTTGCCTCCCGAGTGCTGGGATTAAAGGCGTGTGCCACCACCGCCCGGGCGCAGGGTGACTTAAAAGGCACTACCTTCTTCTCTGACTAAAGGAGCTGCTGGCCCCAGAAGGTTGGGATCAATCCTGTCAAGTCTATATGTTATATCCACTTTAAAAAAAAAAAAGAGTACATATATATTTATCAGCACACAAAAGCCCCTCTGAGGTTTCTAGTGGTGATTGAAACAGTCCCATGTGGTCACCAGAAAATAAGCCATTCCTCATAGCAAATGGGATAAATTCCTTGTCCTCAAGGAGCAGGAGTGCCTCTTGCTGTGTTTTAGGATTCCTCTGCCTTGTCTTGTAGAGGTGAAGTGCCCCTTGATCATGTCCAGGTTTTTGTCTTTCACTGTCTGAATCATATTCTAGCTGCTTGACCCTATCATGTGGGTTCAGAACTCGTTTGGGCATAAATACTAAATCTCTTTCCAGATCAGGATAATAAAAGAGTGATGTGCAATTAAAGAAAAAAAAAAAGATGCCCATTCTCCCTAAGTTTATAATACAAGTTGAATGCAGTTTCCATCAAGATTCTCCCAAGAGTCTTTGTGGCTACAGACAGGTTATTTATATGGGAAGATGGCTGTTACTTTTCTAAAAGCCATTTTTAAGAACAATCACGTAGCAAAAGTTATCAACACTGTACAGTGCTGGCTTACTTTTAGACACAGAGACCAAAGAAACACAACAACAACAACAACAAACCCAGAAATTAAAACCCACACGTATGCACAACTATTTTTTTAACAATATAAAAACAATTCAATGGAGGAAAGAATTGGCTGAAATAAATGGGCATCCACAGGCAAAAATTAAGATAAAAAAAGCCAATTTTTACAACTCAAATTATATAAAATTAACTCAAAACTTACTAGAAAACTAAATGTTAAAAAATATAGACTAAAAAAAGGCCGTGAGAAAAAGTTAAAGATATATCAGGAGAAAGCATAACTGTCAACAGTTTAATATCGCCCTTTGTTTTCTAGCCGCCAAAACTGGGGAGGAGGCTCTGTGCTTAAGCCTTCTAGTCTGTTATAGCAGCAGCCCCAAAAACTAGTACAGACAAGAGACACTTCACCAAAGATACAGGAGTGAAAATATACGAGAAGGGATATTGAATAACATTAGTTTAATATTTATCATCATTTAATAAATCATCACTTAATATCCTAATTTAACATCATAAGCCACTGCCTGTGTGCCACTGCCCACACTCAGGAAATGGCTAACGGCAATGGCTTTATCATCATAAATATTAGGATGGGCTAAAACTGTCCAAGGGTGTGGTTGCCCATCACACCAGTCCCAAGATCGGCACTCAGGGTGTTGAAGGAGGAGCACCACAAGTTCCTGGCCACCGTGGGCTAGCTACAAAGGAAGATGCTGTCTGTGGTGGTTTGAAAGAAAATGGCCCTGACAGGGAATGTGACTATTAGGAGGCGTGGCCTTGTTGGAGGAGATGCGTTACTGTGGGGGTGGCCTTTGAGGTTGCCTACACTCAAGCCACACCAGTGACCCAGTTCACTTCCTGTTACCTGCGGATCCAGATGGAGAACTCTCAGCTCCTCTTCCAGCACACATCTGCCTGCATGCCACCATATCCTGCCATGATGATAATGGACCAAACCTCTCAAACTGTAAGCCACCCCAGTTATAAGAGTTGTCATGGCTGAGTGGTGGTGGCACACACCTTTAATCCAGCACTCAGGGAGGCAGAGAGAGACAGACGCAGACAGACAGATCTCTGCGAGTTCAAGCCAGCTTGGTCTACAGAGTGAGTTCCAGGACAGCCAGAGCTACACAGAGAAACCCTGTCTTGAAAAACAAAAGGGGGGGGGGGGGATGTGGTCACAGTGTCTCTTCACAGCAATAGCAATCCTAGGGAAGACACTGTGTAAAAGAAAGATGGGGATCAGGCTGAGAGCTGGCTCAGCAGATGAAGTGACTGCTTCTGTAAAGCCACATGTATATGGTGACCTGCCTTTAAGCCCAGCCCTGGGGAAGCAGGGGCAGCTTCTCCAGCAAGCTAGTCAGCTCAGCTAGCTGACGGTGAGCTCCAGGCTCAGCAAGAGACCACCTCAATGTACAAAGTGGAGGACAATCAAGACAGACACCCACGTGCACGCGCACGCGCACACAAGCACACACAGACAAGGGCATGCACACCCATATAAAAACCACATACATGGAAAAAAAGAAAAGAGAAGGAGAAAAGAAAGTCATAATTTAATAGACTTGCTGCCTGAACATCTATTTTTAGGCTCAACATAAAATACCTGAAACCAAGTCTTCCCTTGTCATCTTGGCCTAGTTAAAACCTTCCCCACTTGAGTGACTGTAGAGAGCAAGTCTGTTCCTTATCCCCTAACCCCGAATCTAACAAACCCACAGCTGTCACCCAGGACAAACCTAACAGGCAGTTATCAGTACCCGAGTAAACAAGCTCCTCATCCGTGTGTTTGCTTTAGAATACTCCTGAATGGGGCCAGTAGATGGCCTGGTAGATACAGGTGCCTGCTGGGTAATCCTGGGAACTGGAATCCAGTCCCTGGAACCTGCACAGGGCTGTGGAGACTCGGCTCTGCTAAGTTGTCCTCTGAACGAACACACGTGTGGCGACACAGGCACCCACACACATCATGCACATACGTGCAATCATTTTAAAATTCTTAACTAAATCCACACCCAGAATGAGGTGACCACTGTCACATTCATGATCCTGAGGAAAGACATCAAATGCCTCCTCTCTTTCCCTACTTCCAACCCACCCCTCTAGCCCCTCATACTTACTACAAATGTTTTCTGGTTCATGCCCTCCTATCTCGGCTAGCATACACCTGACCCTAAATCCACACCCCTGTATCCCTGTCAGGGCTCTCCTACAGAGAGGGAACTTAATCACAAAAATAATCCTAAAATCAGATTGGAAAGAAGCCACAACAATGAAATAATAAAACATCATCAACAACTACAGTGAGGATGCAGAGATCCTATCATTCATACACTGCTGATGGGATGTAAAGTGCATAGTCACTATGGAAACAGCTTGATTTCCTAAGAAGTTAATGTACAACTACCATGTGATCTAGTAACTGCATTCACGGGCATTTCCCCAGATATCAAAACTTTGTGTTTGTTTACACAAATATCTGTACACAACTATTTAAAGCCACCTTCTTTATAGTCACTAAGAACCAAAAACAACCAGGTAATTTACAATGTATGTATAAAATGGTATGTGTAGTCATACTATGGAATAAGAATCAGTAACAAAAGGGGATGAACCACAAACCTTTGACAAATCTCCATGAATTATGGTGAGTAAAAAAAAAAATCCAATCAATCCTCTATGGCTACATACTAAATTATTCCAATCATGTAATACATTGGTGTACATGAGTTTGGAGACTAAAGGTTAACAACGTGCCGTGTCTGCAACGTGCTGTGTCTGCCGCAACTGATCTCCATCTTTTTTTATTTTTTATGTATGGTATCCTAAGAGGCCAAAAGAGGGCGCCAAACTCCCTGGAACTGGAGTTATATGTAGTTGTGAACCACCCAATGTAGGTGCTGGGAAGTGAACTCTGGTCTTCTGGAAGAGCAGTAAATGCTCTTAACCACTGAGCACACTCCAGCCCCTCCACATTCCTTTCTGAAAGAGTCTCTCTCTGAACCTGGAGCTCACCATCTGGCTAGACTGGCTAGCCAGCAAGCTCTGGGAATCTTGTTTCTTCTTCCCACGCTCCAAGGTTACACTTGCACACCACTGCTGAGCCCAACTTGTACATGAGTGCTCAGGATTAAACTCAGGTTTTCATCCTCACACACACAGCAAACTTACCAACTAAGCATCTCCAGCCCCCAAAACGATGTCTCTGAAAGATGTAGAAAACCTATAAAGGTGGATGCTGTCCAAAAGAATTTGTGCCATTATGAAGACACAGTCCTTCATTCTGTACCGTCAAGCAATAGTTGCTAGCCACATAAAACTATTACACACTTAGGATTTCAGTTTTACGGGTGAAATTTGAATTTTCATTTTATTAATTTACTTTACTTATTTCAAAAAGCCTCATGCCTGGTGGCTACTGCCCAGAAAAATACAGGTCTAAACACCACAAAAGTGAGATTATTTTACTCTGAAATAGAACTATGCCCCAAAAGCATTCATAAAAACACTACAAATTTTAAAACATACTACTTACATGTTAACAAGAAAATTATGTAAGTGTGTGCCTGAAATATTTCTATCTGCCCAAAAAACTTCTCAGCATAGTCCACAGTAGTGACGGCATTGTCTCTGCAGGGAGGAGCATGTGTCTGCCGGGGACGTGGGACCACAGGACCCCTGTTCTACACACCCTCCTATACCAGCTAACATTTTCAACAATGATGTCATTAATTCTAAATGCTTAAAAAATGGTGTGGCTTCAATTCTTCATATCTTAAAAATCCATATGCCGCCGGACAGTGGTGGCACACGCCTATGATCCCAGCACTCAGGAGGCAGAGCCAGGCGGATCTCTGTGAATTCGAGGCCAGCCTGGTCTGCAGAGTGAGATCCAGGAAAGGCGCAAAGCTACACAGAGAAACCCCGTCTCGAAAAACCAAAAAATGAAAAGAAAAAAAAAATCCATATGCCATCCAATAAAACAGAACAAATCATGTTAGCGTGATAGATCATTC